CGGGGAAATGGCAGTTAGCCAGTTCTAGGCACAGTTTAAATTTGAGTTGTGACATGAGGTTGCCTGCCGTCAATAAATGCGTCAGGTCTTCGAAAATACTGTATATTACTTACTAGTGACCCTTCATTATGGCTCTCGGGTAAACAGATAGGGGTCCCGCTAGACATTGTCTCCATGTAATATCTAGACGGCTTTATTATCTGTGCATATGATTATGATCTCTATTTTACAACCCAATATTATTTTGTATGGATTGGGAATTGGGGGTTTTTCTAGTTTCCCCAGTTTTCAAACAATTGAGAGATTTTAAGCGGATAAATTTCAGTGTGTAACAATTCATTGTAATGGAATAATCTGGTCCTCGATTCTGTTTCCTTACCTGTTATTTTCTCAACATAGTCATGTTCTTTGTTAGTTTTTCCTCTATCTTTCCCACCGCACGTCCAAACCATAGGAAATATGATCTCTCGATCTTCTAATAGATGATAGTACGGAGGGTAGCTAACAAACTGTAGTACCCCGAGGCTTGACTAGCTTTAGCACACCAGCGTTGCTCTGAATGAATATCATTTCTACCGCTAGTATCCAGCATGTGTCGCCATCGGTGATTGTAGGTGCAAACAGATTTGAATACAAATTGTTTCGCAGTAGGGTTTAGCTCTTTTCTCTTTCTTATTTACGACATACCGGTTCAGTTCTCGCGTTACACAGCTAGCCTCGTCGATTTATTGGTCCTTCAGGCAGGCAGACAGTTTCAGTCTAGCTTATCCTTTTGGGTCACTACTGTAGCAGCGTAAAACAGTATCTCCAACGTTTTCCATCTTACGTCAGCATCTGAGCTTCGGCCGGAGGTAATCTGAGTTTGGAGCAAACTCACTCGAAACAGTTGCTGAAGGTCATTCTTGACCGTCCCCGAAGTCTTCTGCCGGTCAGTCGAGTAAGTACTACCCTTATTTTCTGTAAGCATTCGCAGAACGTGCCTAAACCATCGCAGTTGTGACTTCTCAATTTGAAGAAGCTGTGACTGCGCACCAAAGCCATCTCAGATGCCTGAACTTCAGACTCGCCCGGTCGATTTTTGTGTTGATTTTCGCGCACTGTCGACTATTATTTGTGAAAAATGCACTGAAATACGCTAAATTATCTCTATGCGGAGCGCGCTGCTGGCTTTTCTTTAGCGTAGAAATCTGCGGTGTTGCTAATGCTGATCTTCATCCGGACTTTTGTACTACTGCAGACCGGAGTTGCTCGGTCTTGGAGCATCAGATTAAGAACCAAGAGGTCACAGATTCGAGCACCGGTCGAGTCACCCGCCTTTTTTTCGTCTGCGCTTAATAAATGAGTACCATTCTGTGGAAAGGAAATAGGCGAATAGTCGCTGTTGCCTGTCACACAGCTGCTGTTGACTTTGCAGCATTGACTTTGACTTATTTAAGGCATTCCTGGATAATGATATAGAAATGTAGATTAGCTTTCCAGCCTTAATTTCATGAAATGAAGGGTGCCATAAGTAGCCCCATCATGATTGTAAAGAAGACTGACACTCCAATGGTTAAAAATTTTCTTTTCTATCTCACGAATTTGTCAAGTTGCGCGTCGGAGGTCAATGTGAGAGGGAGCAAACTGGGTATAGTAATCGCAGGTAACAGATAGTTTAGTGGAGTATCCTTGGCTGAGGCGTTCCTGGTGCTCCGGCTGTGCGGAACAATGCATGGTCTAAAAATTATTAATTGAAAAAGGTCTTCCCCCTCATTTCTGATTTTAGCAGTACTTTCATAATTATCCATGCTATTTTTTCTTCATACGCTTAGTACATTTGTCAGTTTAACGCAAATATATTTCGTAGGAAAATCGTTCCTCAGGTCAGGTTCAGAGCGCCGAGCTTGTCGTCCGACGATTCATCTGGCGAAGATGACTCTGAAATGGGCATGTTTCGTGACCAACCTGCAGCCCCGGTGTTGGACGAAAAGGATATTCTGGATTTCGAGAAGTTTATGAGTCCTGTGCCGCGAAAGCTGAAGTCTCTCGGCGATATTATCGCTGAAAAAATAGCCGCCAAGCAAGAAGAGGTCGCATCCCAGTTGTCGGATGACGTCGGTTGTGTGGTTGTGCGCGATATCGACCCGCAGGTAGTAGAAATGTACCGCGGAGTTGGAAAGGCTCTGTCGTCCTACCGAAGCGGAAAGGTTCCGAAACCTTTCAAAATCATACCTCAGCTCGTGAACTGGGAGCAGGTGAACGAAATGCACTGTTTTGTCTCCGTCCGTCTAACCCCTCTTCTTTACATTCGTATGATTTAAATTTTTTAAGCTTACGATCGAATTCATAATTCGGAAAACAAAATTATCCCGCACCCGTATACATTTAATTCGAGATAAGTTGTATCCAAATAAAATATAAATAATTTATGAATTTTCTTTACGTGTCTAACTACGTTCCTCTTATCGAATGTTTGCTAGGTAAGAAATAATTAATTTTTGTGGCTGCGCCTGTCGAAAATCGATTTCAGTAGTAATATCTACAGGCAGAGTTGACCTCCGTCTTACGACTTTGACGTTGACCTGGAGCCGGGTTCACAGTTGCACCGTGGATACACTGCCCGAACTCCCGCGCGAGCAAATGGCTTCCCTGGAAAGCATCCATATTGACTTTTTCTTGTTTTAATT